TTTATATTCTTTGCCATATTTTCTTTTTCCATTATACAAATGCGAATTTATGTATTACATTACACTAAAATATAAATATTTTAGTTACTTTCCACACAATATGACTCATCTCATTCTGAAGACATGGCTACATCTTTAAAAGCGGATTTAATAGCATTACAGGTATGTGTCCAAGTATTTTACGTTTTTATTATATTTCTATATGAATTGAAAATTGCATATTCTATCTATGTTTTGCTGTTGCAGAATGAAAAGACAAGATTGGAGGAACAGGTGACTGTGTTAGAGAAAGATTTAGAAAATGCAACAGAGGCTGGATTAGAGCTCGAACATATGCTAAGAGAAGTTTTATCATCGAATAATGAAATTAATCCATTAGCTCAATCAGTGGAAGATCTAAAAGCAAGATTAGATGCTCAGCAAACCGCAAACGAATCCTTAACGAATGCATTAAATCTTAAAGCTCAAGAGGTGAGAGTAATCTGTTTACTTTACATATTTATGTCTCTCTGTGATATATCTCTTAGATTATTTATTATTCGATTTGATTTTTGATGTAGAACGACATTAATTTTTTTGTTTTGTTGTTTTCTCATGCAGCGTGAATTTGATAAAATTGAAGTTTGTTAATATATGTTTTAATGCATGAATATACGTTATAAAGATGATATTTATATTAGTACATTTTTTTAATTTTATACTTATCTCTTATACATATCTTATATTTATTTATTTATTATTTTATCAATTTTTATCAAATGATTTTTATATGCCAAATATATAATACTTAATTAAAATTTGTTTTATTACAGGTTGAGACTTTATCAGCAGATTTTGCTTCTGCTAAAAAGAAAGATGAGGAACTTGAAGTAAAACTTTCACGAGCTCAAGACGAGTTGATGACCCTGAGAGATCTTAAGGATAATATAGAAAAGACACTAACAGATAAAGTACATAATTTGGAAGAAAAATTAGATGAAGTAAGTTTGCAATTGCATATCTCAATAATAGTTAATATTATGACATAGGAGATGTGTATGAATTATGCTA